GGCATGCCCGACCCCTGGAGGAGGAGGTGGCGGAGGACGGGGGAAGACGATGCCGCGGCTCCGTAGGGGACGTAGGCGACAGCGAGCAAGGCGAGCCGGGCGCTCAGGCTCCGGCAAGCTGCCGGGAGGCGCGCACCTCTCTGAGGCTCTGGCCTCAGCTTCCCGGAGCTCCGACGCAGCCAGAAACAGAGCTGGGTTGCAGCAGCCGCCGCCGCCACCTGGAGGACCCAGCAAAAGTTTGGATCTGGGGGAGGGCGCTGCGCTGAGCGGGATTACCAGCAGGGCTGGAGAGAGACCTGGAAAACCTTAGCAGGTAAATGAGTACCCTTAACCGTGCCTCCCCGCCCCACTCTGGGCTGGAATCTTTTGAGAACCTTTACCAGGGTTAGCAGGTTTAACTCAAAGTAAGACGGTCGTGGTGGGGGTGGGGGGAGGCAAGTTCAAGGTCCCAGGGATGAGGATCCATCACTGGCAGTCATGTTAGCTGGGGATGGGAATGGGAGTGTGTGGCTGCGGGGGTGGGAGGTGTCTTGGTGTTTCTTCATGCCAGATTGGCAGCTGTGTGAGTCGAGCTCCCCCCTCCCAAGTGACGAAGAACCCTGGGCCCCAGCTGGTGTCTGATTCTGTACAGTTTGGAAATTTAGAATTGTGTATCCAAGGACTTTTAAGTGTGCCTCTCAATCCAGGGAATGATTGATGGATTTCATTCACCCCCATTCTCGCATTCTCTTAGCCTTATGTCTTAAAAAAAGAAAGGAAGCTTACTTTTGCTCTCCTGTTTCTCGGCTTTCTCTGAATCTTAGATTTGGAGAGAATTATGAATATTGAAAGCAAAGTAGAAAGACGTATACCGCTTCCCCCCCCCCCCAATCCCCGGAGTCTTTCCTAATTTCATTCACCTTCTGGTGTGGTAAAATAGGAGCTATAAAAGTCACATTTTCATTGCAGGCTAATATGAAATGTTAGTCATTGGAGGTGTGAATTTGCTCTTTGTGTGTATGGTGCGGGGCAAGAGGGGGCATGGATATGGATGTGCATGTATGTTCCACTGCCTGGGGTTAGTGATGTTGCAGAGAGCGCCCCTCTTTCCTTTGGACTGATGCTCAGTGATGTGGGGGAATTGAGAATGGCCTCCTGTGTGAAAGGAGGGTAGGACATCAGAGGGAAGACACTCGCTGTTCTCAACAGCAGCTCCATGCACTTCAGCTAACAAAATAGCTACTGCTCACTCCCAGGGCACAAAAGATTTAGCACCACCGTGACCCCTTAAGGCACTGTAGAGTTCTGAAGCAGCTCTTGGGGCCCTCGTATTATCTTTATTATGATGATCACTATTAATTCTTCTGGAAACTCCTAGTCCATTCTCTGAATGAAAATCATCCCCCCTGAGAGCTTGTGATTAGTTCTAATAGAGGGGATCTCCGAGTAAAGCTGACAGTAAACTAATCAAGTAAGTGCAAGGCGCAAATCCCTGCAAATGCTCCTCCAGGAGTGCAGGGTGCTGATCAGATTTCTTTGCATGCTGTGTTTGTTGTGCCCAGCCTCTTCTAAATGGGAGCCATTGCTCCCCCATTCAGCTGGGAGGCTACTTAAATCACACAGGGTTCCAGTGAGCTTCAGAGCATGTCCACTAGCTTACAGCATTATTGCTAAATTTATTATGGCTAACTTTCCCCAGCCCAAAGCTAATGTGAAGGATGGCTTCCATACCAGAGCCGGATCCTCTCTAGTCCTACTTGGTATGACCTTATGAAATCAGCGAAGTATCTCCCCAACATTCTGGGGTAAATAGAATGCCTGGTTGGCATTTATCCAGGGCTGTATTTGATTGTTGCCGTATGTATATAGTATGTATATAAAATTTTAGGTCAGGATTTCAAATGTTAGAATTGGATTATGTCTTTTAAATCACCAAGGATATTTAC